AGCATAAAAGGATCAGCTATCATACCCAATTTTTCGTACAAAATGTATACATTATGGTGCGTTATGGAAATCTTACAGCTTATAAGTGGAAAGATAAGCAGTGTGTGTGTGTGTGTGTGTGTGTGTGTGTGTGTGTGTGTGTGTGTGTGTGTGAGGGTTATCGCTTACGTCACTACTGTTTGTTTATAAGATAATAATCCTCCTCCTTTTACCTAATGATTCTATTTTTTTTCACGGTGGTGTCTGATGAGGTCTCGGCCACACGCTGTTTCCAGGTGTGAACATAACGCCTGGAGACACCAGACGACAACTGTTAAATATTAAACAAAAGCTATCTACCTTTTACTCGCTGCTACTCTTCAATTTCTCTTGTTTTTAATAAGTATTTAGAATTATCTTCTGTTCAAGTGATCAAAGCTATATGCTCTAGTTATAACTTCATCCAGTTGGTGCCTTACGTCACTTTTCCTTTGGAGTGTGAGGTCGATAATTAATATGCCAATAGGGGTCCTACACTAAACACTTCAGCATAAACCGTGAATAAACTGCCACACCATGCACAATATACTGTACAGTCGGCACACATAAGCCTGCCTCAAGAGCGCCTTATTGTATGTCTTTTACATACAACTTGTCAGCTATTCACACTAATAGTACAGGTTGTTGGTGATGGTAGATGGATACATGAGGTTGTTGTTACACGCAATAGTTATGTGTGTTGTTCTTTATGGGTATGGCGGGACAGTGCTGCCATCTGCCCTCGATTGGCAAATAGGTGTATGAAGTATTCAAAGGTCAATAGGTGAATGTTCCGTGTCGGTATACCTGGACCCGGCCTCCACCTACATATGGTACATTGTTCAACGCCCATCACGGGTACGAGGATGTTCAGCTTCCAGCCACGATGGACCGTGAACCTCCTACCCCGGGGAGCTCACACGCTAGTCTTACACTACCTGCGAAGTGAGGAACACGAGAACGTCCAGCTAAGCTAACAATCGGCAACAGCAACTATTGTACTCATACAAACATTGAACACTGAAATATACCGTAAAAATCAGTGACATTTTACAACATAAAATAAATCATGATGATTATTATTATTATTATAGATACAAAGAAGTTCTTTGTTAAAGCAAGGCAGGTCTTTCTTACCCCAGACCTCTCGTGAGGGTGTACTTCAGTATAAAGTGGTGTTGACACTTGCACAGACACCCACTACAAGATAACGGGGAAAAAGATGATATTCGTCAACAAAAATGAAAGGGAATAACCCGACACAGTTAGGGAGGATAGATAATGGCAAGGCTTCAAAGAGTTCCCTACCCCCACCCATTCTCATCGTCTTCCGTGCCACATAACTAGGTAGGACTTCTTGTATCTAGCCCTTAATTCTGACCAACCACCTTCTCATCATCGAATACTGGCAAAATTTAATGGTCAAGTAAATGATGGTCAATCATGGAGTTATTTAGAGGTGAGACAAAAAATGCAATGCTGAATTCTGGCTACTTGTACAGATGGGACACGTAACGGTGAATCCTATCAATATCAAGAAATGAGACAAGTAGTATTCTTTTTTTGCGATATTTAGAAGTTAGACAGACAGCTTCATATCTTGCCAATAAGTAGAGGTCACATAACTAAGATCGACTCGCGGCGACATCTGCACACACACAAGCAAGCAAGTAATTATTGTCGAGTGATGAGCCTGTATTAAGACCACACAATTAATGGCAAGCTTTGTCTGAGTGGAAACGTGAATTAGGTCGAGTGTTGTGAATATGTAGTGATGTCATCAGGACTGTCAAGTACAGTATAATAATATCTGATTTTTTTAATGCCTCACGACCAATCAAAACCGAGATAACTGACGGATCATCCTTAAGAATCGGTAATACTGAAGATAATAAGAGAAACACTATAAGGGCCGCCAGTCTCCACACTATACATAAACAAAGTCTATATTGTGAATGTTAACGCCAGGTGGTGAAATATTTTGTAGGTTGGCAGTGTGTGAAGAATCCCCCAAGCAACACAGCTCCCGCAATTTGCAAAGAATTTTTTTATTTCCTTTAAGGTTTAATTTTCATTCGAGTAAAAGGGTTGTAAGTGATTTACACATTTAAGAATCACACTGGAATATAAATGCGTCGAGGCGAGGAATGCAACCCTGGTGCAGAACAGGACCACCACCCGGGCTTACGTATATTTGATGGCGTGTAAATTTCTAACAATATTGTTGTATGTCAGGAAAAAAAATGAATCTTGGAGCCAGAAATGTTTGGTGAACGAAGAGAAAAATAATGATTGGAAAGTTTACGAGAAATATACTATGAAGGATAAGATCTTAACATGTTGTCAATACTTGTAACTCAAAAAGTGCTAACAATTACGAAAATACACACTACCAAATAGATTGTCTTTTAATATACAGCACTAAATATACTGTTCGCTGCCATATAGGAAGATATACCGTGAGTGCTGATATACCACCACAAGTATGATATCTTATATTATACATCCAAGAACAATGAATATCAATTAAGACATGATACATAATATTTTGTGAGTATATATTACCGCTCATATATAATAGCAGTTAATACAATACCAAATGAAAAAAAAATACGGGTCTTCAACGTAAATACAATAAACCAGAAAACAACTGCGTTAATACACCATCAAAAATACAACGACCGCTAATACAACACTAAAATACGTCAATATATAAGTATACAGTCTAGAACAATGATTAATATACAATGAAAACTCAACGAACTCCAATACACCAGCAGAATAAAATGGCCGCTATAATACACCTAATGCTAATACACAAGTAATACAAAATGACTGGCATTAATACAAGAAACGACAATAGACCCAGCAGATATATTCCACCATATATCCAAAAATACCAAACTGAATATTCCTAACACTCAGCGTAGGTCTGGTTGATAGGTAGGCATAGTGTCAATTTGAGGTCTTAGTTTTGGAAGGGGGTACACCACGATAGAGCATATCTCTTACAGTGGAGAGAGAGAGACTCTAGTATATTATAATTATGAATAAGACAAGTCTACCGTACTACAATCTTGATCTATATACCATACATAACACGCACAAGCATATTTACACATTAATCCTCGTGTACGTACATCATATAACGCAAAGAGACGACGCAACAATCCATGTAAGTAAGCTGTACGGTATTAGTGCATGAAAGATCCGATTTCATAAAATTCTACTTCATGTTTCCGGAATATGTTTTGGGAGGTAAATTTACTCGGGTCTGGTCTGGTCCACCACAACCGAAATTTTTAAGAATATCAAGTGTATGCATGTAATCAATCAATCACTGGCCCGGTTCTACGAGAATTTCATTTATGATTAGCCTTACATCTCCGACCAATCACTGGTCTGCTTCTACGAGAACTGTGAGGTATGATAAATCTTACATTATCAACAATCATCGTTGCACTTTTAATGGAAATCTCAGTTTCAGGTAGAATATGCTAACAGCCAATCGGCACCTCGCTCCTGTGTAAGTTGTTAATTATGATTAGTCTGATGTCCTGCACCTGTCACCTCTATAAGAATAATTCACTCGTGGGAAGAACTAAATGACCATCCAATCACCGCTGCGTTCCATAAACAATGTTACGTATGGTCAGACACGTGACGTGAAACAATCACCGCCACGGTCCATAAATAATCTTACGTATGGTCAACTGCTTGATGTTAACAAATCACTGCAGCGCTCCATAAAGATTCTTAGGTACAGCTGCACGACATTAACCAATCATCATCGCTGCTCAAGCTTATAAACCCTGAGTAAAAATAACAGTATTAATACTACCTTTAAACCTCTTACATACCCTTAACTAGCCATTACTGCGCCTACTTGAAAAATAACACAAATAAATATGCCTTCCACAGACCTGACTGTTAGGGGTAGCAATGAAAGACCAAATAGAACACCTCTCCATCAGAAGTTAGGTACCCATTCACAGCTGGGTCTACAGGGGGTACTCAGGGCGCGAACAAGCGATCCTTAAGACAGGAGGCCTTAATAATGTTAGTCAATCATCGAGGCATTACCTGTGGAAAACCAGGTGCCCTCAACCAATCATCGCGTCGCTTTTCACTCAACACATGCTATAGAACTAAGCTAACAAAGCCTCAACCGAAGAATGTTTACATCGTCACATCAGACTGGCGAGGTTGGTCTCCAGGTATTCCCAAACAATACGTAGAGCGGAAAACATGAACCATTTCTATATGATAACCTAAACTACGACAGGTATGATTTACGGCAGCAGATACACGTGGCCATGTCAATTGTTTATAGACCTGTTGTGTCTTCAGCCTGGGGTCACCTGTTCTCCCTCAGGTTCTCAGAGCACAGACTACTTACGTCATTCAATTCAGGTTCTCTGGTTGTGAACGCTCCCATGAGTTCACTGGTTACTGACGTAGTTAATATACTGCATAGTTAAGTTGAGTAAGGTGTTTTTTATATCAGACTGAATTTCGTTGCGTTTTATTTTTTTTATTTTTACGAACCCTCTTAGAGCCATAAAATCAACAGTTATCTATCAAATAAATCTATTTCAACCATACACATGATCAGTAAACACTAATCTCGAATCCCTAATCATGATAACTCGGTCAGATTTGGATAAATGTAGGTTAGTTTAACTCGTAATAATTACCGTCACATTCATCAGTTACCAAGCATATGCTTACGGCAATGACGTCATAGAACGATGCCCCCATGCAATCAGCTAATCAGAAATCCTACCTCGATGACGACTTCGTGCAATAACGTCACGTGAACAGATCAATCACTCGGTATCTTTACAATGATAATATACAGTAAATCAAATACTCTTAGGGATTACGACCAACGCTGATATAGCCATAACGTAACATTCCAATGTGTGTGTAACTTAACTTAGATGGACACCTTACACAGTGTAACTTGAACTGTTACTTACATATACTGTAAAAGGAGAATGGGTCCGGCTGAGTCGTGGCGACGGATACAGCGGCCTCGACCTGTAACAATAAATGAGTTCTAATTAGGATACATGTCGTTAAAAAAGTACACAGCACAACTTAATGTGTCATTATCGAGTATAGGTTTAACATGGCCAGTGATCTAAATAACATGATGTTGAGAGCTGAGTCAGTGTCTGTTGGTCGGTGTCTGTTGGTCGGTGTGTGTTGGTCGGCGTGTGTTGGTCGGCGTGTCAGTCAGTGTATGTTGGTCATTATGTGTAGTTTGGTGTTTGTTGGTCGGTATATATCGGTCGGTGTGTGTCGGTCAGTGAGTATCGATCAATAATGAGAATATACTGTATGTTGATTCCACCCCCCACACAAGCAACCATCCTTAATCCACAACATTTACACATGACATCATCCCAGCACCTCAGTATTAACACGTGTCTAACATATCACAGTAAACAATAATCTTTTTACAATTCTGTATCATTTTTCTCAAAATTCTTAATAAATCTCGTCTGCCTGGAAGGATTGCGTGGTCTGGTCTCCGGTTTTAACTCAGGTCATTGTATATATTTAAAAAAACACACATATATATATATATATATATATATATATATATATATATATATATATATATATATATATATATATATATATATATATATATATATATATATATATATATATATATACATATATATTCTTCATAAAATAAGATATAAAATAGTGGAAGATCTACTACAAAAATCATTCATTAGAGAGAGTGGTATCCATCTCACAGCATCTGGATTTACTCCTAATACCTGGATAAACATAGCCAGCAGGATATAATTTTCCTAATGAGAACAGTCAGGTTGACCAAAGAGAATGTAGTGAAGATAATGCACCGCTATAATGACCGCCTTGTATTGTGTGATCCTTAGGCAGCGTCGAGGCGTAACTGACCGAGCAGGTGGTTGGTGTGGGGGAACAATGCAGTTGGAGGTAATGATAATATAGGGCTAGGCAAACACAGGGCATAACAATTAATACCTGTATTAGGTGATGGAGTGTCTCAGGTACAATGAGATGTTGTAGCTTACTGCTAATTGGAATGGTGCTAGTTCTACGGAGGTGTATCTTGTTCTGTTTTGTGTGTGCGTGTGTGTGTGTGTGTGTGTGTGTGTGTGTGTGTGTGTGTGTGTGTGTGTGTGTGTGTGTGTGTGTGTGTGTGTGTGTGTGTGTGTGTGTGTGTGTGTGTGTGTGTGTGTGTGTGTGTGTGTGTGTGTGTGTGTGTGTGTGTGTGTGTGTGTGTGTGTGTGTGTGTGTGTGTGTGTGTGTGTGTGTGTGTGTGTGTGTGTGTGTGTGTGTGTGTGTGTGTGTGTGTGTGTGTGTGTGTGTGTGTGTGTGTGTGTGTGTGTGTGTGTGTGTGTGTGTGTGTGTGTGTGTGTGTGTGTGTGTGTGTGTGTGTGTGTGTGTGTGTGTGTGTGTGTGTGTGTGTGTGTGTGTGTGTGTGTGTGTGTGTGTGTGTGTGTGTGTGTGATTGCTTGTTTGTGTGAGTGACTGTTGCGTGTGGGTGTCTCAATGCTTGTCGTCTTCGTGTCTGTGCATGTGCATGTTTGGATTTGAGTGCTTTCTATGTTTGTATGTATATGCGTACGTGGGTGCGTGTGTACCTGAGTTTTGGTGTTTTTGAGTGTATTTGTTTATGTACAGTACATGCTTGTATTTCGAGATAAGTGCAAGCTGACGTGCATTCATGTGTCGTGTAAATTGACGCAGAGATGAGAGCTGGGATTTCTGTTCACCTGTGTTGCTGTCGATGTAGAAGGAACGCAATATGCCGATCATTCAACACTTGTTTCCGACTCAAAAGGTGAAAGTGTCAAAGCTAATATTGTAGCTATCGTAGATGTTGCTGTAGTAGTGAATCATGGTACATTGTTCTTCATATTTCAATTACTCGTACAATTATAACATTCGTATGACATCTTGTGGGTACTACTGTTATCTTTATTGTAGCGTCAGTAGACGATTGTATGAGTTGGCTGGTGTTGGAGCTATCGTCACTGGTATTGTAGCTGTCGTAGGTGTTGCTGTAGTGTTTCAATGATATGGATCATTCGTATGTTGTGGGTAGTGTTGTTATAGAGTCATATAGACGAAAAAGATGTTGTTAAAACTTGTTAATATAGTTATAGAAAATTATGTATTTTATCTTCATATTTATGCTAATCAAGTGACAATTTTATAATTAATAAGAATAGGATACATCTATTCAATTTCAGCTCATTAATTAATACAAGACGCCAGGCTGACAGTAGCTGGCAACACAGTGGGCAGACTCGTGCACGTTTCAGATATGATGAGTGACTGAGTGACTGAGTGACTGAGTGACTGTACCTCGCGTCCTTTTACGAAAAAAAAAGCACTGCATCAGTAAGAGAAGACAAGTAAGTTAACAGGGTATGCGAGGTCGGAGACGCAAAACAATCGCCAGGTGTTGGAGGTGACGCCAGCCCCTCCCATCCTCCCACGGGCCCACACTGTCACCCAACTCTCTCACCCTCGTAGTCTTAAACTCACTGTAAGTCAATATAACATTAGAGTTAACATTATACATGCGCGAACCTGAATATGAATAGCTCTATATGAGTATTTATAATAATATTGATGTCTGACACCAATGATACAATTTCCTTTAGATAAATAAATGATCAATGGAGATTTGTTGATATTTACGTGACGATAACATACCGTCAAACACCCATCCATTCAGCCAGTTCACCCAATAATCACCCGGCAGTCAATCAGTCACCCAGTCGTACATCTACCCTACCTAACACTCAACAACCAGCCAGACAGTTATCTTTCAATCAGTCGTTTATACAGAGGACCAGTGATTTTATTGTTAGGTGGAGTGAATTATCAGGGTGGGGATTTATCGATCATTAGTGTGAAGACAATGGTGTAAACAAAGGCTATAGGTAATCATAGTACCAATGGGCTCACCAACAAGCTCTCCACATCTCATACTTGATAACAACCATACCCTCACCCTAACCCTCTTCATTTTTCTTTTTAATATTTTCATAAAAAAAAACATTAATCCCCTTTTCATATTTTATAACTTGTCACGTGAGGTTTAAGTCAAAACAAGTACTGTTCAGGTAAACTATCATACCCGGATGGTCAGATTAATCCCTTCACATCCAGAAATATCTAATCCCGAAAACTCCAGTATTTACTTCAGAACTTAAAAAAATTAAATAAAAAATAAAAAATCCGTAAAGTAATCCACCACGGCAGTAAAGCAGTGATCACGTTACATATATACAGTATGTATCCTGTTATGTATTTTGAACTATCTTCATTGATCTTTATTTGAATTTTGTATTCTTGGTGACATTTATATATAGAACGTTTGTCTCCGTATTCAATTTGTTCCGTTCTTTCCACTTGCACCTACACGTCTTCTGTTGACTTGTCTCTTCCAGTCCATCATCCAGGGTGTCAGTGCCTCCCGTCTTGCTGAGGGCGGCATCTGTCTCACCCCAAGGGAAGGTGATCGCCCGAGACACCCCTCTCATTAACACCATACCTCCTCCTCTTCCTCATCCTCCTTCTTGTGGAAGACGGAGGGAGGAGGAGGTAGAGGCGCCCTAGCCAAGCCGTGACACCTAAAACTCACGCCAGCGATTAGCCCATCTATCAATGGCGTCTCCGGTGATTTGTCATGAGTGGCGGAGGCGTCGTTCCCTACAGCTCACTGGACGAGCGGGAAGAGGAGGGGTGGAGGGAAATGGGGAGGAGTGCTGGGTGGAGCGGGGGGTCGGGGGGGAGGGTCGGAGGGTGAAGTGCTAGGTAGAGGAGAGGGAGGAGAAGTACTGGGTGGAGGCAGGGGGAGGGGATCGGCGGGAAGGAGGAGGATGAAGAGAACGAGAAGGAAAGATGGAGTGGAGGGGAGGAAGGCTGCGAGGTGGAGTGCTTGGTAAAGGGGTGACGGGAGGAAGAGTGCTGGGTGGAAGGGTGAGGAGGAAGGAGAGAGGAACTATTATAAGTGCTGTTGGTGACCCGAGAATCTTAAGATGTGAAACTGTCTACTTGTAAGTTTGTGCGTGTGTCTACCATTCAGGTAATATCCCATAGAACTCATAGGAAGGGATCGTCTTAATTATATGATAAAGAGGAATGTGTAATAATAATAATAATAATAATAATAATAATAATAATAATAATACAGCCTCACAACAGCTGTACCCAGACAAACAGGTGACTCCCCCACCCAACCTCACACAAATTATAACCTCTTGATTCCCTTAATTTCCTCAGAACCCAAAAGGTCTATTCAGGACCCGCCCACCCACACTCATCATGACGATACCTGAAATGAGAGTCAGACATCCGATCACCATTGACCTATTCCCCGAGGTACGAGGTCGTGCCATGAGCTGATCTGCGTCCAGGTTTTATGGTATTGTCGTGTTATAGTGAGGCGTGATGCTCTTTGCAAGTTTTATCTGTGCCACATCTCTGTATGCTACTTTATCACCACACACTAACTGGCGAACAAAAATAGTCCGTTATTGATTGACTGACTTTACTGATGGACAAAACAAACAAACATGTCATCTCTGGTGTAGAGTATGAATGTGTCTCTCTTGTTTCCTTAGCGATGATAAACACGAGTTATAAACAGCAAATTGACCACTCTAACCTGGCAACACAGAGTCTATAGTGGAGTCTGACCTTATTCGGTTCTTACGTCCAGGTACTATCTAATTACCTGCGGTGATGTGTTATACTATCCGTGTTGATGCGCTGTTTCTTAATGCCGAGTAAAGTTTCTTTCTAATAAAATTAATTCATACAGGTATTAGCAAATAATTTTGTTCATAATTTGGTATGTATATTTACCAGGAGAAAGAGAGAAAATAAAATTAGTAGAATATGTGGACGTTGTATGTAAGGACGGTGATAACCAGTGGTAAAATAAACGTTTAAGATGGGCCTGTTATGCATGTGAGAATACCTTACAAGAGACAGACAGAGACCTACGTTACCTGTCT